CTTATAGATATACTTCTTCTTCATTTATCATGTTTTTGTTTTTTGTTTGTTTTTTCTGTTGCAAAGCTGATTGTTTGTCTGTGTTATTCTGTATATTAAACAATGTCAAAACAATACAAAATTGATAAAAAAAATTTTTTTTAAATAGAAAACATTTATTTTAAGTTATAATAATATTTCATAATATTTCGGTTTTAAATATTGTTTTGTATATTTCGGCCATTCACCCTTCAGTTTAACTGATTAGTTTTAACCAAATTATTATTATTATATATTTTTTATATATACTTCTATTTCATTTATCATGTTGTTGTTTTTTGTTTGTTTGTTTGTTTGTTTTTGTTTGTTCTGTTGCAAAGCTGATTGTTTGTCTGTGTTATTCTGTATATTAAACAATGTCAAAACAATACAAAATTGATAAAAAAAAAATGTTTAAATAGAAAACATTTATTTTAAGTTATAATATTTCATAATATTTCTGTTTTTACTGTATTTTGATCAAATAAATGCAGCCTTGGTGAGCATAAGAGACTTTTATCACAAATAAATATTACCAATCCCAAACTTTTTAATGGTAGTTTATATTAAACTGCTTTATTTTTCAAATCTGGAAAAACACTGTTTAAGCAATCCCTGATCGGCATACCTACAAGGTGACTTCTAAATCTTGTAAAGCAGTTTTCTTCATTGGCACTTTTTATAAATGGATTTTCGATTGTAAACATGTAGTCTAGATTGTAAATACTTATTTAAGCCGTGTTATGGACCTGGCTCATGCTCATGTATGTACAAAATCAGTCTTTGCATTCTTTCACTCTTTGCTTTCAGCTAACTGCTGTAATTGATTTAGAGATGGACTTTCCCCTTTTGAAATGACAGAGCTTTGTGTAGCACTTCACAACGATGAGAATGCGGGTACCGGATCGACTGTGGAGCTGAACTCGGGAGACTTACACTTGTTCTTGTAATGTCACAAACAGACACGTTTAGCCTGTGACAGTCGAGATAAGCCGCTGGCATTTGAAAAATGGCCCTCTAACCTGAGGAACCGATCTCACAGCGGCCTACACTCACTTTTCCTCCCTGAGATTTTTCACATTAGCTTCAGACACATACTGGAGAAAATAGCCCAGATGTGCCAGAACCGCCACCACATTAACAGTGCAACACCGTGCAAGCTGTGAGTCACAGCCTCTCTCACACACACACACACACACACATACATCTAAAAGCAGTGTGTCAATAGCAGCAACTGTCATCCGACTTCCCATTTTATGGGTCAGTGTTGTTGTTGTCATCCTCCCAATGTCAATGAAGACAAAGAGGCTAAACTGATGGCAGCTGTTCCTAATACCACTGTGCATGTTCTCTGTCTCACACACACATGTTACACCTGGATTAGCTTTCTGTTCCCCAGGATCAAATGCACACCATCTATCCCTTTACGTGATTATTTTCTCTTTCCTTCCCTCACTCTCTCTCTCTTTCATTATCTAATATGGAGCATAATCCTCTTGTGGAATTAATCTGCTTTAACGAGTGTTTGTTACCATGCTGAGATGGAATTAAAATGAGTCTTAGGGAGGGGAGGGGTCGGTGGGATTCAGCACCACTGAAATGTTTGTTCTTGTCCAACCTGCCTGATTCTCTAGTGGTAAACACAAGAGACACCTGCACACAGCCTAGATCAAATAGAGCAGAGGTTGAGATTCAGCATGGAGAGCACAGGGAGTTTTGGGCTGGTGTGGCCTGGTGGTCATGTACAGTAACTGAGAGGTCATAGGTTTGAACATCACCATTGTGCCCTTGATCAAGTGATTGCTTCAGGTTGCTCCAGTGGGATTAACCCTCTAATAAATGTACTATAAACAGGCCCACACAGAGTTTTTGCAATTCTGGGGAGCCTGTCATTCATAAAGCTGTTTATTTAATAAATATTAAATTATTTGATGATTTGTAGCATATTTAAATAAATTCTACAAAATTCCATAAAAAAAATCAGCAGAGAAATCCCTAAATAATTTATCTTTGCCTGCCTATAATTTTCCATGATTTTTTCAATATGTATTTTTTATTATTATTCTAAACACTTGACAGATACTTTTTAATATTATGCTCAAAGCTGCATTTATTTGATCAAAAATATAGTAAATATTTTTACAATTAAAAAAAAAAATGTTTTGGTATATATTAAAATGAAATTTATTCCTGTGATAGCACAGCTGAATTTTCCGTAGCTGTAACTCCAGTCTTCAGTGTCACATGATCCTTCATAAATCATTCTATATACTGATTTGGTGCTCAAGTAACATTTCATATTAGTATCCATGTTGAAAACAGTTGTGCTGCTTAATATTTTTGTGGAAATTTGTGGAGATTTTTTTTTTTTACAGGATTCTTTGAAATATAATTTTTTTTGTAACATAAAATATCTTTGCTGTCACTTTTTTATCAATTTAATGCAACCTTGCTGAATGAAAGTATTGATTTCTTAAAAAAAAAAAAAAGCGCTGACCCCAAACTTTTGAACAGTGTTGTAGATTAAACTGTATTTTGTTTAGTTTTTACAATTGTACCCTACCAGAAATAATAAATAAAAAATCAGGCTGTGGATTTCTCACTGGCCTACTGCTTACCAAACTAAAAAGAGATCATTCCTCGTACTTGTTCGGCTGTGTTGTGAGTAGATGTGAATTGGTCTAAGTAGCATTTTGGACTCTTTGAGGGTCGCACATAGTTAAAAGAAAAGAAATCCATAAACCAGACCAAAGAAGTGTAAGAAAACCTTGCTTTCATTCTCTCAAGCATTCTTCTCCACATAGCGAGTCAGTTACCTGAATCTATTGACGTCAACGCGTCTTTAAAAAAATATTCACCTCAAAAGGTTTTGATTTCAGCCACAAAGAGGAGGCGCTGGTATTGATCAGAGTCGCTGTCTGTCTGTTCTTTTCTCTACCAGGGACCGAAGAGCCGCAGCCTCTATAGAGGGACTCAGACAGGGTGGGAGGAGATCCCAGCAGGTAAAAGGACCCACCGCAGGTCACGACCACAAACAGCATATCAGCTGGCTATTTCTGAACAGGCCATTGTGCCTGATTTCTGTCCAGACGCCACAGTAAAACTCAAACATACACATACACACACTTAACACATACACACATATACACATACACACACACACACACACACACTTAACACTGTTTAAGGGCAATGGGAATTGATTTGATTTCAGCCACAAAGAGGAGGCGCTGGTATTGATCAGAGTCGCTGTCTGTCTGTTCTTTTCTCTACCAGGGACCGAAGAGCCGCAGCCTCTATAGAGGGACTCAGACAGGGTGGGAGGAGATCCCAGCAGGTAAAAAGACCCACCGCAGGTCACGACCACAAACAGCATATCAGCTGGCTATTTCTGAACAGGCCATTGTGCCTGATTTCTGTCCAGACGCCACAGAAAAACTCAAACATACACATACACACACTTAACACATACACACATATACACATACACACACATATACACACACACACACACACACACACTTAACACTGTTTAAGGGCAATGGGAATTTACATATAAAATATAAAAAGTTCAAGAAGGTTTATGTGAGGTTTTTATTTAGGGTTAAGGGATTATTTTTTATTCAACAATATTTTTATGACCTGACCCTGGATAAAGGTCACTTCAGTTCACAGACCCCATATTCCTTGCGTGCGTGTTTGCGAATAGGGGGCAGAGATGTACTTTCAACCTCTGGTTTTGTAAGGTCAGGAATGTTTAAATTTTTTATGTCTATTTCAATTATATTTAGCTTTTTTATTCCTCAGAGAGAGTCATTTGGAAGCTTTTATCTCGTTATGACATCAATAACAACATCTGCTACTTAAATTCAGCACAATAAGCAGCATTGTAAAGCTCCCTGAAGAACTCCGAACACCACATTCCAGTCATGTTTGTGTTTGCCATCGTTGTTTTTCACGAGTTTCTGATCGTCTCATTCCTTCACAGACCTTTGTTTGACTGTGTGTGTGTTGTGAGGTTTATATCTCTTGGTTTAGCTTATACGGTGGGGACAAAACTGTTCTCAGAACAGAGCCAAATCTGACAAAACCTCCCCTTTGGGACATCCTGAGAGGTAAAAATAATTCATATTTAGGATTAATCACTCTTTACACTCTTTTAACCATTTTATATAATGTCCTAACCAAAGTGCTGTCATTAAGCAACTATCTGTTCCATGTTTCCTGTTTTCATAATTGATAATAAGAAATTGAACACCAAATCAGCATATTAGAATAATTATTAGAATAATTTCTAAACAATCATGTGACACTGAAGAGTGGAGTAATGGCTGCTGAAAATCATGCTTTGTTATCATAGAAATAAATAACATTTTAAAAAGTATTAAAACTAAAAAGTTATTTTAAATTGTAATATTTTTACATTTATTATTATTATTATTAGTATTTAAAAAAATAAATGTAGCCTTGATGAGCATGAGAGACTTTAAAATAACACTTTTAGAATAAGGGAATAGTTTATAAAAACAAACAAAAAAAAAAAGTAGTAATTAAATTAAAGAGACTTTAAAATAAGGGAAAAAATGTCATGCTTCTGCATCCCGACTACAATTCACAATGTTAAGTGGCTGTCAGTCCTAAACATGAGCGCTGTACTCACATGTACCATCACACAGACACAAGGGGGGAAAACAAGAGAGAATGAGAAGAACATAATGTTTTAGTTACACAAAAGGAGGAAGAATGGAGATGGTGAGAAGATAAAGGAACGGAGAAGTAGAGGTGAGGAGGAGGCCAGCGAAAAAATAAAGTCAGAAGAAAAGAGAAATAGCAGAGGAGGAGATGAGATTGATAGAAAGAAAGAATATATAAGAAGAGAAACTTTCAACAGACAAAGAAGTGAAAAACGTATGCAGATAAAGATCTTGACAGAAAGATGAATGCAGACATAAGGACGGTCGTGGCTTTGGTTTAATTGAGCTTGTCACACAGACGCTATTTTTTAAGTGTTGGAGTGTTCACCCTGTCACTGAGCTTTATGGCATCTGTAATGACAGCTCGCATCCACATGTAGACAAGGTGTACGTTGTACCGTGCCAGTTGTGCTACTACTTGTATTCTAACTTTAATTTCTCTCGCTTGCCTCCTCCTCACCTCTACTTCTCCTTCCTTTCTCCAAAGTCTGATTTAAAATCTGGCAATTGTCCCCGAATGGACAGTAAGACTGTCAAAAAATATTCTATAATCTTGCATTGAAGGCGGAATCTACAGTCCAGATTATCATAAAGACTTGGGGATGGACTGTTTTAACTTAGACCAATAATCAACCACCCAGAATACCTTAGAAACCAGATAGCAACACCCTGAGGTTTGCATGGTCAAATCTAGAAGAATCAGTTGATCTTTAAGGAGAAGTTGTAATCTTGGGTGGTTTTTATCCTTCCTGGCCTGCTGGGCATTACTTACATCACTGACGCTTGAGCTGTTTACCAGGGTTAAGTTGCAAATGACTGGAGCACAAACATGGCAATAGGAAGTCAACAAGTGTGTGTCAAGTGTTTTGTAAGTTTTTTTGTTGTTGTTGTTCTTGCAGTGTTTAAGAGTGTGAGTGTGTGTGTGTGTGTGTTTGCAAATGGAAAGAATGTTTTATTAACTCATTCATGCTAAGATAAGATAATTTATATGAATGTACACAGTTCATCGTAAGTGGCCTGTCCATAAAGCATAGCAGATACTTGTATATACAGTAGACGATGCACTTGGTGATGTACACAGACAAAACACCACCAGGATAACACACAACACTAAAATAATGCAATAAACATTAACTAAATAATAGAAAATGTAACATGAATTATCCTAATGTACATATACTAATACCAAAAAATATAATTATATGTCACACAGAGACTTCTGGGAATATCCTTTTACTGTTTTTCACTGTAAATTATAAGGTAATTCATAGTTTTTTTACCTGCAAAAACTATACATTTCAAAGTATTTTACATTAAAATTGCTTGTGATGTGATGTTAAACCATTTACAGTTTTTACTGTATAGGGTAAATTACTTACAGTAAACCAGTTAACAGGTTTTTACTTGACTGTAGAAATTTTTGCAGTCTACTATACAGTTATTTTGCAATTTATGTGTATTTTTCATATGATTTGATTCATATGGCGACATTAGTGACTGGTGAGTACTTATTACTATGTAGGAACTTTATCTTTGATTGAGATAATAAGTGGTTTTGCCCACCAGTTATGCTTCCAGTAAACTCCCAGTAATGGCAGCAGGAATTAAACACCACCACATGACACATTAAACAGCAAGCTCTTCCTTAGACTGTGCTTATATTACCAGTTGTTTTTAAAACCTATACTGTATAGTGAAAAACTTTAGTTGCTTGCACACTTAAAGAGTGTCAGTTTTAGTGTGAAGATGCGTCAGTGATAATCAACCGCTGCTGTGTTCGAGATGGCCAGGTTGTGATCAGACTAACTAACACCCCTCGCCTCCCCTACCCAAGACTAAACATCATCACCATGCAGGAAGGAATGGCCTGTTGCTAAATTACATGATCCGTCGTTTACATCCCAGCAGATAAATATTTACCCCTGTGCTGTTGCCCGCCTTGTGATTAGCCACCTCCCCTCGCACAGTACCGGGACCACCTTGGTGAACAATGGCTCTTTCATAGGCACCGTGTCATTCCTTCTTCCCCTTCTGTGAACCCCGTGGAGTGGGACAGGAAGTCGCCTTCACGGCCTCAGACTGGGTAAAAGACTCTAGAGGAAGGGGGTGGAGGTGCTCAGGTAATAGAACCCTAAAGGTCTGAGGCACTCCAGCCGTCTAACTTTTGGTCACCATTGTGTGTATACGTACCTCAATCTTGGCTGATTTCAGTTCTTGAGTCATAACCCACTTTACTCCTCTAATGTGACATATTTTCGAGTGAAACAGGATATTACGTAATGGTACCATACCAGAATGGACTACCAGAATTGTTTAGTCAAAATTGACCAAATTTACTTTTTAAATATATATTTCTGGTCTCAATGATTTATCACTGCAAATAAAAATTGCTCTGCCTCTGAAATGCAGTTCTTGAAAAGTTTTGTCTTTAGTACAATCTTAAGAAAAAGAAAAAAAGGAACATTCTTAGGAAAAAATTCTTAAATTTATTCTTAAGTTAGGTAATAAGAAGTAAATAGCAGTTGAGAATAATTTTATTTTTCCACCCCTGGTTTGTAATGGCAAATTAAAAAAATCCAGTTATTTTTGCTCAGAATTTGACCATAAATTTTTTAATTTCTGGCCTACTTTACTCAGAAATGTGCAAGATTACAGACGTAAAAGGGTTTTGGTAAAGGTGTTTTATGTTGACTTTTATCCACTAGCCTGCGTGGCTTAGGTGAGGTCATCGGAAAAAGAAAGTTGTTTCAGAGTGAGGGGTTATGACATTTGACGATAAAAGAATACTAATACATTTAGTTTTCTTCAGAATAAGATACGCTGATTAATTGTGCACAATAAGACCAAAAATGTACATTAAGACAGTACATTTTGACAGGGTCAGTATTGATTTTATGTTGCCTTTAAGCCTGAAAACCCAGAACAGGTTGGAGTCGGCGGAGGGACAGATGTAGCCAAATCCGCCCATCTTGATTCCAGCGAGTTTCATTACCAGATGTTTCAGGGCTATTATTGCATTAAAGCTGAAATGAATAGGCAGATGTGTGTGTGCATTATTAGCAGAGCTGAATTGTGCTGGTCTTATGATCACAGTGATTATAGAGAGTCGAAGCGGAGCACAACCGCAGGCTGGCGGCTGGTAATCCTCTTCTTTCCCTAAATAAGCCCTCTGTCACCCGCTATGTCTGATACAAATGCTTTCACAATCCCCCATTCTACCCTTTAATTCACTCTCTCTCTCTCTCTCTCTCTCTCTCTCTCAATCTCAGTATGATGTTAGCTGGGCATTTTATCAGAGCCATTGTATTTATCTGATCCTATTAATCACTAGAGGAACAGCGGAGCTGTGCTTTTTGTCCATCTTGTCCCTGATCTCTGTCTGCGTGAGACAATAATGGCATTGTGATGTCCCGAAAGATCCTGACCTGCCAAACAAATCTGTTTATTTG